GTAATGCCCAGTAATGCCCCAAATTTGTACACCACAAATGCCCTTAGCGGTTTATCTCTTGTTTTCAACGGATAAGCAAAAATATCTTCTTCATAATTTTGTTAACAAATATAATACAATCAAATAATTGGATTGACCACTTGACCGTATTTTTACGAAAATAAACTCAACAATATTGAATATGAGGTATCACAATTTGGTCCTCGAGAAGTACGTTTAACGAGCTCGTGAACTAGAAATTGTTACACAAATACACGATTTGCAAAAATACGATTTGCAATCAAATATTGCATTCACGATAAGTTTCTTTAATTAGCATGCAGAACTGGTCTCTTTACATCTTAAGCTTTTCAGACTCAAAATTCGAATTCTCTGCGTTCCGAACGAGAAGGCTGATTTGCATAAAACACGTTCTCGGATAGTTACACGCATTTTGCGAAGATTCGACCTCTCGTTTTAGAAGAACACCAAAAGCAATTCGAACAGAAATCGAAGCGAAGCCTTGATTACCAGCGTGACTAACGAGACTTCGTTCTTTCTCGGAAAACGCGAGAAGGGCCGTTCATTCGGTCGGTCGTTCATTCGTTCGTTCGGCCCTATCTACTGAGGATCGATTTAGCAACGGCCTCACCGATTTCCCGACAATGAGAGATCGATTTCACATTTGTAATCGGGCGAGCATCGTGTCAACTTCTATGTCTCGTGTCCCTACCGTTCGCCCTATCTGCTCTTAAAAAAAAAGATAGAATAACGATACGATCGAAACGAAGAACCTGACAAAAGCTATTGTAGCTTGCATGGAATCATCAAAGTGAAAATTCAGGTCGCGAAAATGAAAAGGGCGGGAAGAGAGAGACAGAGAGAAAAAGCATGCACGTGGATACAACGATCTGTCGTGAGTGCCATCACACGAACGAAAATTTCAAAAATATTCGTAAAAAAATCCAGATCAAATCATATTCTGCCAAAAACGTCACGTTTCTATGCATAAACAAACAATGCGCAAATGCACGCCGCACCTGTTTTGCATTTGAAAAAACATGTATATAATAGCGTAAAAAAATTGTGCAGTTTCAACTGTTTTAAAATGCAATATTTCGATGCAGTGTAGCTAAATGTCATATTTTATGTAAATATGTGAAATATACATAAATTTATGTTTTATTGATTCGAGATATAGCTAGTTGCACGCGCATACGGATTATGCGTAGAACGTTGCAAGGGATAAGCACGACACGGAACACAAGGACAAATATTTGCTGCAATATATTAGAGATTGCGAGTAGGTCATTTCGGGACTACGGCGCACATATGTATGTATATACGCCGGAATATACATATGTGCATACAGACGCAATAGAAGCTCCATAACTTAATACACGCACGTCTCCTGCACGGATAGGATAACGTCATGAGACGCTAAAAGATTGCTAAAAGATAGCTAAGTCGAAGCGCATTCTTCGTCTCGCGCCATCGATATCATTCCAAATCCAGCATATAAGAAAGAATATAAGAAGCTTTGATGTAAGGAAAGTTATGTAATATGCCGGTACACATGCAATAAGCGGAACGAAAAATTCCAATCGAAAATACCGACGTCAAAGAAATTGTTTGAAGAGAACGCACTGGACGATAGACAATAAAAATTTCTGTTGTGTTGATATCGCGCGTGAAATAATCATAACAATTTTTGTGTAAACATTTAATCGAATATTGATAACAAAAATAATTTAATAGAAATGGATTTTAAAATCATACGCTGTAAAGCCCTGCTATTGTTTTATTTCACTTGCTGTATGCATGATATCCATAGGTATGAATCGGTGTGAACTAGGAAATAACAAACACCATTAAATAAGCAGATATACCTATATATGTTACTATATGTACATACGAGGGACGGTAAACAGCGGCCAAAATTTCGGAAATATCATTTTAAGCCCGCAAGCGCATTGCCGATTTCGAAGCAAATTCGATGGAAATCACAAAGTTCAACGAGCTAAGAAAATAAATATCGTGTATGATTAATGTAATTTTACAATCATATATAATACGATAATTTTCTCATTTCTGTTGAATAACAATTTTATATAACTGTCTAAAGTTAATTACGTGGAGTTGCAAAAATATATTTTAATATTCAGATTATTTATAATCTTGCGTATTGTTAAATCTATAATATAATGTCAAATTTAATCTAATTTAAGTGGCCACTGCTCTTATTTAATATATTATTAGGTGTTGGAATTAATTCGTAGCGTTTTACAAGTGATGGGAAGTACTTTCATTAATGTATTTTTTAATACTCATGTGAAATAAATAACATTCTTTCATTAAAAAACGCTACGAATTAATTCCAACACCTAATAAAATTAATTTGACATCGTATATTGTCAAATTTGTAAAATTATTATAATTTGACATTGTCAAATTTGTGTTAGTATAATTGTTTTAGTATAAAATAATAATATATTGAATAGGAGCAACTTGCAATTAAACTAATAGCGGTTTCCACTGGAAGAATTAGTGCAACACTAATGCATACTGAGTGCAACTTTATTGTTTCACTGTGAAAACCAGTTCACATATTTTCAGTGTTTAATGTTTCGTTGATAAAACTGCTGCAAAAAACTTGCACTGAATTCAACTTTTTCCACCGTCTTTGAAGTTAATGGAGACCAGTAAAATTGAGATTATGTTGAAATTGAGATTATGTTCATGCTAAAGTATGATATTACGTTATAATATGATATTATTATTATTCTAATTAATGTTATAACAATGACATTATGTTAGTTTCGAATAATAGCTATAATATTTTAACGTTTAAAACTTCTGAAATAAAAAATTAATTCAAAAAAATGTTTTAAATTAATTAATTAATCAGAATATTATAAAATAAATAATTTAAGCTTGAAGTAGTTACATATATTTTTAGAGATGTTATAAAACGGATATCTTATGTTCCATTAAACCGCACTAAACCTGCACTATTACTGCATTAATGCTGTTTTCATCGAAACCTGGCATAGTGTTGCATTAGTTCTCAGTGAAAAGCACTATAAATTAAATTTGACACTGCAGATTTAACAGTACAGCATCGTTGTAATAAAACTACTTAATCCTAGAAATACTATTATTGATACAATTTTACGTAGAAGTGAACGAAATCATTGAGCACTAAACTATCTTCAATAATCACTAAAAAGTACAATTTGCCATGCAATAAGTAATTTCAATTTTTAAGCTGTTTTGTTATTACTTTGTATTATTATACATTTTATTTAACTGTATAAAGAAATATATACACAACAATTAAATTACATATCATTTCACTATTTAAATTAAATAATGTGCTTCTCTTTTTCTTTTTAATCATTAGGTTAAAATTTGTGTTCATAAAAATCTGAGTAAAAATCTAGATTATACATATTTTGTCATTAAAAGTATAAAATATGTGAAAAACTTGTGTTACATTAATTAAAAGTTATCTATTTCTCAAATTTACATTGATACATACATAGCAATACTATATCTTTCAATGATAGCATTCTACAATTAAGTAAATTTTATCGATCACACGAATGTAATATGACGTTCGAAATCTTTTCTATCAGCTTTATTTAAGTTTTTTTGGAGACTCCACCAATATATTCGTGAATATTCAAATACCTTCAAAGATTACTAACTATTATTAATTAAAATTTTATATCAAATAGTATATCATAATTATCAAAAATTATTTCAATAAGAACTGTCAATAAAAATTATGTTCTAGGAATTCATTTTATTAAATAAATATATTTTTAATACAGAAAAATTATATTCCTTTCGCGCTCAAATTATCATATTTTTTTATAAAATATACATATCACCCATTTGCTACAATAATAACACAAAAACAAAATTCCAGAAATTAAATTTGAATAAATGTTTCGAACCATTCAAATATTTTGTAATATTAATTTCAAAATGCAATTTTGGTGTAATAATTGATTAGAGAGAAATATAAATGTTTTTTTAATTATATTTTTTCTTTCTTTTTTTATGTTTCCATTTTTTTTGGCAAAAATGACAATTTTTTACAACTCAATGACAACTGTTTAATTACATCCTTATTATAGAAAAAAGGCGATATAGTCTTTTCTTGAAATTCAAATATGGTAATCCTATTTCCAATCCGTGCAATCCATTTCTGTTAACTGTTAGCGACAATATCGATATCATTACACTATCCAGGGCTCGATAAAATAACTGATGATTTATTTAAAAAATAAATATAATAAGTTCCAGAAACTTACTTAAAATATAAAATAGTAGGAAGTCGATAAAAAATTGATACAACTTATTTAAAATAAAAAATATAAAATACATTCCGAAAATTAATTTAAAAATTAAATAAGAAATAAAAGTCAGAGGGAATTATTTAAAATAATGAATACTAAATAACTTTTTTAATTAAAAATATATTTAATTTTTAAACAACTTTATTTTAATACGACCGAGTCCTGATAATGTCATCGCACAGATATATGTAAAAATACAACGACACTACAACGAAATCGAACTGTCGTTAAAGGCGACAGCAAAGTCTTGCATAACGCATAACGCATAAAAAAATGAACCAATCAAAGTCCTTCATTTCTTTCGTTTCCATGAAATAAAAGATGGACTCTGATTGGTTGATTTTCTTATGTTTTATGCATTACGAGTTATACAAAGCTTTGTGTTCCAACCTTATTGAGCTTTCTACAATCGGAATATTAAAATTATACTGCACATTGTCAGTTTTAGATTACGAAAGAATGTAGGTATCAACGGTATTCATTTCAAAACAAAACAATACTACATCATCAGTCACGAAAACAGCAAGAACCGTTATCGTTCATTCGCGTTTCCACAATTTGAATAACTCTCGTCTCGTAATCACGCGAATGAATGATTTCATGACGGTTGTTGCGCAGAAATAAGATCTCATATCGAGACCTTGAAGCACTTACTCGATCGATGTCGCGCGTTCCCGCGTCCCAGGATGCTGTCCTGATTCCAACTACGAGACTGCTGCCGCTTGAAGTTCGTCGTTCGTCCCGTCTATCTTGCCGTCGAGTCTAGTTTCGTGCAGTCGTTCGTTCGTACACTCTCTTACGGCAATGCGACGGGTTAATCGAATTAATCGCACGAGCTAACGAAAGCGGGTGCAGAGCACGAGCTGCAGAGACGCAGTTCTTCGAATCTGCCGCCGCTCGCGCGCGCCTTTCATCTGCACACAACGGCGACTGACGACACACACACACACACACACACACACACACTCACAAGTCGCACGCGTTCGAATCGCGCAGTTCTCCTCGCGCACCTCGGATTCCTTACGCGCCCCGTCACGTAAACATGACCGCGCGCGTAAACAAGAGTCAACCGAACGCGATTCCCGGAAACCGACCGTTATTTCCCTTTTTTATCGCGCCCGAGAATGAGATCGAGACACGGCGTTTCGGGAAGAATCGGGACCACTCGACCGTCATCGGTCGCGCGACGCCGGCTTCGTCTCGTCTCCGATCAAGTCGATCACAACGCGCGACAACTTCATGTTTCTCGGCGAGCTCTAGTTCTTGCGAGCGCAAGATCGTGGACGATATTCCGCCCACCCCGAACGCACGTAATCACGCTAACCACGCACGCACCCCACACAACACACACGCACACACGAAGAGAGTTCACTTGACTTCTCACTTGCGTTTCACGAATCCCGGAACGAATCCACGATACCACCGGCTCGGAGAGAACGACCCGGCGCCAACTTCAACGCGTTGCTCCCCCGCAGCGTTGCGCCGCTCGACGTCCACATGTGACCGCGCCGAAACTGGGGCACTCTCGCGCACACGTCTCTTCCCCCCTCTCTCTCTCTCTCTCTCTCTCTTTCACCCCCTTGCCGAATCTGTCTCTCTGTCTCTCTCGCTCTTGGAGAATCGGAACAACACACGGCACGCGCGCGTCGCACAGCGCGACGAGATGCGTTGTTCTCGCGAAGAAACGATATATCTCGAAATTTGGCAACGGCCAAAGTACGTCGCGGAGCGAAAAAGCGCGACACCTCAACGCTGGCGAATCGGCCCGGTAACTGAGTCTAGCGGTGTAGGGGAGAGTAGCGGCGTAGCGAAGTAGGGGTGGGGTGCGCAAGGGAGACCGCGAGCGAAGATACACCCATGTGGCGCGCATGCGCCGCATGCGATGTCCTTGTCTGCCCCGCACGCGCGGTCTCGCTCAATCTCCCTCCGCTCTCTGTTCAACCTTGTCGCTCCGTCCGTTCCCTCCCTTTCCCTTCTCTTTCTCGCACCTCACCTTTCTCGCTCTTTCTCTCTCGCTTTCTCCCCTCATCTGCCACCTTTCGCATCCGTACGCCGTATGTCCGCGCCACTTTCTCTGTCTCTCTCCTTTTCCCGCATTCCTTTCTCTCTCCTGTCCTTCGCGTTCCCGTTATTTCGCGCGCCCGTTCGTTTTCTCCCTCTCGCGTGCCCTCTTCCGTGTGCCAAGTTTCCTCATTCCTCTCGCGTCTATTCGTTTCAACCGTTGTTTTCTGCTCTCTCTGGTTCTTTTCGTCGCGCGTTCGTCCCTTTTCTCTTGTATTTTTTTCGTCGGTTTTTTCTCGCGCTGTTTCACCTTTCTATTCTCATCCTTTCGTAAGTATCTTTTTCTACTTTTATATCTCTTCCACTTCCCGTTTCTCTGTCTCTCGCGCGCGATCGCAGTGCCGCCTTTTCTTCAGTTTAACCTACTGCACCTACTCTAACCTTTTCCTCTCGTCTAACATTCGTCTCCAATTTTCCTCCTTCACCCCGTTTCTATTATATCCCCGTCCAACGGACTTGCTCGTGTAACGGCTTCCTTACTACTCGCCTTCATCGTTCGCCATTATTTCGCCGGAGCGCTGTTAACTGTAACATCGCAAAACGATAAATTAATTTGTTCGCGTAGCAACGATGGCCGCGAGCGTTTTCATGGCGTTCCAATTACGAGTTCGGCGTTACGTCAGGAAGAGCATCCAGAGATGTCCATTACGGTGCATAATTGCAGAGAGCGAAGAGGTAAGTGGATCAAGTTGTTACAGCTACATCGCATCTCTTCGAGAAGGACTTCGTCCGTGTGCATTTTTTTCTTTTTTTTCGTTCTCACGCCTCTCCGAGGTGAATCGACGAGGAACAAAATCGATTGCTAATTAATGCACTATACGTAGTCCTGCATATTTATTTTCATAATTTATGTGAAAACTTTAAGTCAATATACATGTAATGGGAGCTCAGAGCACTGTAAATCTGTTTCAGACGATCTATTATATTGTATATATATATATATAATAATTTAATTATTTCTAATATAATTACAATTAATACTATAACAATTATTCGTAATAACTTGTAATTTGCATCAAATTTGAAGACATTTCTGTTTATAATTTAACATGTATTTTATATAATATAATCATTTTAATGTAAGATAGAAGAAGGTGTTCAAAAAATATCATATCATTTAATTATTTTATTAAAGCTATATTTCTAAATATTTGTTTTTTAAATATGTGGACAAATTAGGTACTTCGTGGAAATTCTGTTAGGTATGGCATCACCAGTTGAAATTGGGTGGAGATAAAGGCGCACACATTAGTTTGTGAAATGCAATGTGACGCACGAAATGTCGTACCATATAACATTTATTTTTAACAGAATTGATACGGAACTGAAAATACTGAAATAAAATTAATTACCACAGCCTGTTTCTAAAAAATATCTCTAATGGATAACATTTAACATGACCATCGTTTTTTCTCACTTCTTAGAGACGCGCCCTTGTATTTGGCTATTTTTCGAGTCTTTATATAAAGCACAACCGCACGATGTGGGCGGAACCATTTTCGAGTCTCTGCCACACCCTTTGTTTCCGCGAAAAACAATACAACTTTCACTTTATGCGCAACATAAATTTTAAATCAACCGTCTGTCCGCCATTTCACAAACTGATGTATGCGTCTTCACCTCCATCCAGTTGTAACTCATAATATAATATTATATTAACAGAATTTCCATAAAGTACAGAATTTTCTAACACAATTAAAAAATCAATACGTACTTTACAAGTAAAAGTTTCAATGAGACAATTAAATAGCATGACGTTTCGTGTGCCGCTCTCTATATATGCAATATGCATTCAAAGTATTTAAATATTTTTCATATTACGTGAAACTATAAATTCATTTTATCTGACATTCTCCGAATTATATTATCTTTTATTTAATATACAATGAACATTCAATTTTCAACGTAGTATTAATTGAATAACTTGATAGAGACTCGCATATATATATATGATACTAATATATTTCACAATTTCGCCTATGTGAATTCTAATTTATATTTAACATACTCTGTTAAATAATCTCTGAAAAGATGGAGAAGGAGAGGGGCGGAAAACATCTGCACGCAGACGTGGAGAAAAGCATTTTATAGCTTTGATCTCGGTTACAAACGACGACTTCCGTAAATGGAATTTTAATACGTTCTGTACGAAGATAAAACGCTTACGCGTTTGTATATACTTTCGATGATGTTCCATCTCGATGTTCTCGTGCATTCGTATTTATATTTTATAATATGTATCTTACGCCACACTAGTAATATCTGAGTAAGCGAGGTATTACCTGGTCGTGGCCAGCTTCGAGAGAGAGAGAGAGAGAGAGAGAGAGAGAGAAAGGAAGAGAAAAAGAAAGAGAGAGGAAAGAAATCCAGTCGCTTTGATCTCGGTTACGGACGACACAACAGATGGAATTTTAATATACCTTTTAAAGGGATAAATTCTTTATCAGAAAATACGCAAAGCAACTTTTTGGTGACGCGTTAACTCGATTCGTGTTCTCGTGTCGCGTCATCAAGTAACAGCTAGTCGCAGTTCTAATTTACTAAACACTACACGCAAATTGCGTGTAGCTTCTCTTTCTAGCTTCTCTCAAATTTACATGGTTCACTTCGTACATTGGCTTGCGATTAATTATTCTGCTTTTGCCTTTCGATATTTCGAGAAATAGGAAGTTTCTGGCTCCTTTACCTATGTCGTGCCAAACTGCTCGAAATAGCTATTGACATCACATAATGTTTGGAACATGGAATCGATTAATGCCACTCTGATACGTGCATCTCAACGAAACTGACGTTTATTATGAGAAAGCCGATGCATGGACATACCATATCGTATTCAAACGAGAGAGAACGAATTGACGTACGCGAAAAGTTCATGTTTTTCTCTTCAAATGTGCGAGATATTTATGTAATACCATCCAAAAACAAACGCTGCATATTCTATCCAAAGTTAATCGATGTTATCAAGTTTGAGAAACGTCTTTAATTCTCATCTCTCTTATTCAATTTCTCTTAATTAATTATCACTATATATTTAAAAACTAAGAAGTATATTTAGTGGAAAGCTTTCTATAAAAGTTCTTTCTAAATAAAGATATGATAGTATTTATTACTAAAGGTAAAAGGATAAATCAACTCTCTTCATAATTACATCTAACGAAATCAGAATTGATTTGTGATTTATTCAGATGAATCTCGATTCCATGTAGACGTTTGATCGAACAATGAGGAAAGTTAGTTATTACACGTCGCTTCACTCGCCCAGTCCAACTATGCCGACAAACTTGTCTTAACTAAACACGATGGCCAAATGTGATATATGTGTTCGAAACACATACATATCTGTCATATACGGGACAACGCGCGCGCGCACGTGAGTTATAACAATGATCAGCTCGTTATCAACATGTCGGACCGAGAACCACAATAGGGCCCCGACCGGCAGTGGCGCTTTGCGTTGTCGCGTGGTTGTTGTGTCACATATATGAGCATGATAATCGTAATACAACCGGATGTATGCAACAGCGACAAGTCTGTGCGTCAGTCGTGAGCCCGGCAAGTATTGACGTCTATTAAATTGGCACAGCCACTGCAGCACAACCGAATAAAACATACACATAAATTTAGTCTTTTTTATTGCTTTAGCCGATTTAACAAAAATAGTGGCTGTGCTAACTTAAATTTATAGTTTGCAGTTTAACACAACCACAAAAATGTCAAAACGTAAATAACAAAACATATTTCTTTGGTATTTTGTTGTTTAATCGAGTTGCTCCATTGCCAAAATAGTTAAATAATAATTTCGATTCAGAAAAATCATCCCCCAATTATTTTACGTTAAAACATTATGAAATAATTTTATAAATATTTTAATGAATTGTATACTTTTTTACAATATTTTATTGTTTGATATTTTGATTAAGACCGAGTTTCTTACTTCAGTCTTAATCTTCAAAAACTCCCAGCTACTCCACAGCATAACAAATTTGCAAATTCAACAAAAATCTCGATAGATTATATTCTGATTTTGTAATTTGATATTTTAATTCATTTCAATCTTATTGCTCCATTCCTAATCTTTGAAAATTACTCTCTGTAAAAGAGAATCAGTATACCATATTATCATTGACTTCAGTGCTACACTTATAACTGTAATATCAGTGAATATTTACTGTTTTTCAGTAATAATACACACACACACACACACACAGATTCATTTTTAGAAGTTGTAGTTTCCACAGATTGAATCTGTAGAAAATCATAACTTCTAAAAGTGAATCAGTGTATTAACTACTGAAAAACAGTAAATATTCGCTGTTGATTGGGGTGATTTATTGAGTAAATATTTATTTCTTTGAACAGCATTAACAATAAGTAAACATTTAAGTGTGGACAAGGGTTTAATAGTCTTTTTTTTACTGAATAAATATTTATTTACTGTAAATAAATATTTAGTTGGCAGTATTGAACTAAATATTTATTAAAATTGACTATATTTTTTTTCTGAGTGTGGGCATCACGAATGCTCGAGATCGAACAGGCACGATCTTGTATCTAAACGACAAACACAGAAATTAGATCAATTACCTATAATTACATCAATTATAAATGTAGCACTGAAGTCAGTGACTTTTAGAGAGTTCCCAGTTATATATCGCGTGTATATAACGCTTTAAATTTATAAATTTCAATTTCAGTAAGAAATAAAAATTTCGATGATTATATCTCCTGATTTTTAAAACATCGCGCGAAAAATATGCGAATTATTCTTACAGTGTTTTTCCTCTGTAGTTTGAATCAAGAGAGAGATTGATTAATTCGAAAGTCCTATGATCTTGTTCAATCAGAAATCAAAGTAGACCATTAACATCATTAACCTCGGTTCTATTCAAACTTATAGTCAAAAACGCTATTGAAATACACGTTTCATATTATGTTCCAGTTCGTAATATTCGTCGCTTATTCGAAACTGACTTTTTTATTTTACTTTTATCGTTCTAAAAATGAAAGGTAGTACAACTTCGCTTTGGAGTCTTATTTTTTTTATTTACGTCGCGGCTAGTTTATTTTTTTTTAAGTCGCACTCGCACCAATAAGGTAATGTACGCGAAATGTTTCCTCTTCTGACTGTTTCCAAATTTTAAAACCTCAATCCTATCATAAATATGGATTCACAGTTTCACATATTTTTTTTTCTTTTTCATTCTTGAAATGCATCACGTTCGGGTATATCGAGTTTGGTTTTGCAGTATTCGTTGTTTGCTCTAAAAATAAAAGACCTTTTTTTTCATTTCATTATATTATCATATTATAAAGATTAAGATCTCAAAACTAGCCCGATAATCTATATTTCCTAACTTGTCGAAACTTTTGCGTATATACGCTTGAGTAATAATGATAGTGATAGTGTATGAAGCAAGCGAAGTTAGAAGGATACATCAAAACAGTACAAGAATACATAATACAATAGAAGGAAGAAAAGAAATACCGAAAACAGGGAGGAATGAAGCGATGGCGACGCATCGACCGATGAATGAATTACTTGTTGCATTCCGCTTATCACTTATCGCTCGACTTCAATTATAGCATATATTTTTAAAAAGTAATACATATTTTTAAATATATCTTTCTTACAGACGGCAGCAATTTTCGGTACTCATACATTCATAAAATTATTGTGCTTTTATATGAAAAGATTGTTGCAAAGGAATTATAAATATTATTTTCAAAGATTGACGAGCAAAGAAGAGTAGTTAGTATTAGACATTA